ATCATCTTCAAGTTTTTCTGTATAACAAACAGCTTACAACCTTTCAGCTTATCTAAAATAGATCAGCCTGTACGGAAAACTGAACTGCTTAATGTTCTGTTTACTTTTAGATTTTGATTAATACATGTTCCAATGAAAACAACATAATGGGGTTGGCAGTGATGGCACCGAAGCCTGCCAAATACAGCTCATTAAAAATGATACGACGGTGAAATCTAAAGCTAATGTCCGAAGCCGTTTACGACTTATTTGTGAGACTCATAACAAACAGGAGTTATAAACAATTCACTTATATACAAGCATAAACTTTGATTTTATAGAACTGTTAAGAAATGCTCTAACAACAGCAGTCTATGGACTCATTATTTTATTAGTAAGTAGACAAAATATATAAACGGAAGCAGGTGTGTAGATATCCTCTACCCAGCTTGTTATATACATCAAGTGCAAAATAAATCAAACAATCTGATCCATCTACATTTACTATACTGACTTGATTTAATGAGCCATTCGCAGTTTTACTGTACCGGCCGCGTGTACTTAGACCTGCATGGCTTAATCTTTGAGACAAGCATATGCTACTGGCAGGAGAGCTGGTCTAGTACTATTGCTTCAAGGTTGTTGTTGAAGAGAACTTTACCGTTGGACTCTACACTACAGTCTGGGTGCCGAAGCATCTCCAGGACACCAGCTCTGAGCTCAGGTGAAGCTGTGTTACTGAAATCCAGCACCTCAGTGAGAAAATCAAGAAGCAGCTCTCCCTTCTCATCCCCTTCAGTGAAACACTCGGTGATCTCCATCTGAGATGGCAGCTCATAGCTCTGGTAAGGCACTCCCTTGGAGTCCAGGAAGCTTTTGATGTCTCCAGTGGTCACACAATGACTTATGTCGGGTTGACACAGCTGTGCTCTGTAGGTCCGCCATAGCTTCCCCCAACCACTCTTGCCTGGAACAGATGAAAAAGAGGCTATATTACAACAATGACAATTTGACAAGCAGGTGTTTAGCACGGTCACCATCCTAATTTCTGTCTAGAATCGGCCAGAAACTGAATCATACTTGACTGTCCATCCATCTTCATCCGCTTTATCCGTACTTGACTGGATAAGTATAAATGAATAATGACTTGCTGGTGGTACAATGCCAGGAGAATTCATCCTCATATGCATCAGAGCAATTTTTTCCACCATGGAGATGCTAACATGGATCACGTTGCTATATCGCAGCTCAGGTATTTAATAACTTCAGAGGAAAGACTCGGAGGGAAGTAGGAAATAAGAAAAAGCTCCTTCAGGATTACACTCAGAGCCTTGTTTACTGCATTTTTATGCATCTACACACCAGGAGCAAAGTAGATGACACAAACCTCAGCATACACTGAAGATGTCGAGGAGATTTCGGGGAGATCGGTGTG